CATGCCTACTTTAAATAATGACAGGAGATAAAAATAAAATTTTTATTTAAAATAATGAAATGTGCTCCTTCTAGTCAAAACATACATTGAGGTTCCCTGGTCTCAGGGCAAAAGTTAATTCTGTGTAATCCTCCCTAATTAGAAAAAATGTTTTGTCATCTTCTGAGATATTTGGGACTGTATGGCCCACATACTTATAACCTCAAATAAAATACAGAAATGTATACTATGTTTTACTGTAAAACTTTGTTATGATCTATATTACAACATAGTGAATATAATTCTGGAATTCAAAATACATTTAAAATCACTAGTTTGAGCTGATTTTGGAGGGAGATAAAAAACAAGATAAACATTTGGTTGAGTTCAAAATGAAGTTCCTAAGTTCATAACCTATTAATAGGTACATGCTTTGAAAGTATGTATCCTTTGATCTCCTTCATTGGCTTTCATGAATGGTTAAAGTCTAGTGAGTAACTTACAATGATATTTTTAATCTACCCATTGAAAAAGTATTGATATGCTTTCAATGACTCAGTAATATAATCAATACTTTTATCATTAGCACTTTTCTAGTCATTACATGGAAATCTCTATATCTTGGCTTATAAACAGGTTTTAAGTCACCGAAAGAGTCATAATGGCTTTTCATGCAGACTCCACTTTGCATACATTTAATTTCAAATGTTTTCTGGAACAATAGAACAAAACACACTTTGTTATTATTTTTCCAGGAACTGCAGAGTACCATCTGAACTTTCATCTTGAATAAGTTACCTTTCCCTAAAAATTATTAACCAGATGCTGTATGATCTGAAATTTGATTAGAGTTCTAAGTAGGTACTAGTTTTTGCCTTTCACTTCCCCGGGGAATGTCACTTCATCTCAGAACAATTTTCTATTTTCCTAAGCCTGAGTCAGATGTTTTAGAGTGGGAGGAGGATTTGTAGTTTTGAATGAAAACTAATATATATGCAGGACTTCTTTAAATCACCCCAGCTGTTGGCCGAGAGCAAATATTTCATATTTGTGAGGAAAAGCTGAGAAGATTCCTTTTGTTTACAACTGCCAAGTCCATCTGATGGAAGCACATTGTTATCTGACAGCTAATTCATCTCCTTGGGACTCTGGAATTCAAAACCATTTCTTAGGAACATTGTGGATACACTTTTCAAATATTTATTCTTTAAATACATTAAGTGGAAAAGCAGTTTTTCTAAGAAATGCATGCAAGTTACTGCGAAACTATTTTACATTTTATTCAGTACATTGTTTAAAAAAAAACTAAAAACAATAACAAAAAAATTCCTTGAGAGTTTCATACTCAAATTTTTATGGCTTTTGGTATATTCCCATATTTTAGTCGCTGCCATTAGCCTCAAAAACACGCACCGCATTTTCCAGATACACCACCGGGCAGTATGCAAGACAGGAAGTGATCAATAAATTAACTTTTAACCATGAACTGTGAGAACCTAATTCAGATGGGCAACTTTACACTGCACTCTAAATTATGAAAAGATGTAGAAGTGTGGATTTATTGTATAAATGCCACTCAGACAGAGGAGTGACTTACTTTTCACTACCTATATGAAGAACAAAATCAAATAAGGTGTTGATTTTATTTGTGAGTAATTTATAGCTCTAAGCTGTTCTCATTTTGGAATGAGACAGTCCTGAATGACATTTTATAAATTTTCAAAGTTATATATTTTTTTCTAATTTTATGGAGATGGAGTTCTGACACAATCTAGAGAATGAAGATAAATTTGAAAGTGGAGATAAGCTCTTGACCTTTTAATACGTTAAACTTTTAATCTGTAAGAAAGAACATGGTGTTGCTAGTCTTAGTTTGGTGTTACACTGGAGTGAGAAAACCATTATTTGTAAATAAAAACAGTAGCTGCAAAAGAAAGACCTGTTTTCCAAATAACAGAATGTATGTGGCTCGAAAATTTCAGTCAAAATATAAAGAATTAGATGGGTGCATAATGGGTGAAAATACTTCACAGAAAATGCCTATATATTAGTCTGCAATAAATTCTCCATACAGAATTATCATTATCATTCTTGTTATGATTGTTATCATTTGAGGCAGGGTTTTGCTATGATCCCAGGCAGGACTTAGCCTCACTGTGTAGTCCAGGCTTGGCCTTGGACTTCCGGCAGTGCTTTTGCCTCCGCCTCCAGAGAGCTGAGAGCACAGCCATGCACCAGCAGACCCTCACTCAAACAAAATTATGAATTCAGGATATTTTACAGCTGCTATAGTCTAGATAGTTAGGTAACAGTGGGACACAGGAATCGTGTATGCAGGTGTAAAATTTTGTTGCTTATTTCTACTTTCTGTGCAGTTAGATGTTATGCTTATAGAGTTAGAGACTTATCTCTCTTATGGTCTTTTATGAGACCTTGGGCTACTTTAGGGTTCCAGTAGTGGAAATTATCTTTTCCTTTAGAAAATTCCTTCAGAACCTAAATGCAAGGCTATGAGAAAGTTTTTCCACATTTTCTAGGGCTGCCATTATTTTGATATTTATTTTAATACTGTAGAAATGAAATGCATACATGCTTAGCTTAATGTTGGCTAGAACCAATAGCATGCAGTGGAAAAATCTTGGCTACTAAGCTTTCCACTGACATTACCAGTGCCTTTCACCCTCCAGTTCTGAGACTGCAGACGTAATAAAGGCAGGCATGAGGGCTGCTCCGTCTTTTCTCCCCAATAATGTTTAAGTATAGTGACAAATATGCTGCTTTTAAGTGCTTCAAATTTGAACATCTTTATATTCAAAATGATATTTTTCTTGCCAATTTTTTCTTTGGATATTTATTCCATTGGAAAACTAGACCAGCACATATTTTCATAGTGCAAAAATGGAAGAAATCCTGGAAAATATGTCTATTAACTCAAATTGTTTAGTTTCCACTAACCTAACATAA